GAATGTGGACATGTCTGCTGAGATCCTGTTTTAATCACTGTACAGATATCTGGGCTTTCGGCCTTTCTCTCTCACCCAGAAAGAGCTTGGGTTTTCCTCCCATCGCAGCCAAGCTGCACGAAGCATGGGAGACACTTTGAAAGATTTGCCTGCCAACTTTTCAGTGACAAGAATGTAAGTTCCATGAATGCTGGAACCTTGTCTGTCCTGTGGACTACAGGTCCCAGTGGCCAGGACGAGCCTGGTGCATTGCAAGGGTTCAGTAATTATTAAGGAACAGAGGCATGACTGGGTAGGGGGCAGCTGTGAACCTCAGTAGCTAAAGAATCAGTACCTACATGCTGACGATTCCCACATCTCCATGCTGTTGCTGTTAGGTGCTGTGGAGTCAGCCCTGACTCATGGCGACCCCATGCACAGCAGAACAAAGTGCCGTCCAGTCTTGTGCCATCCCCACGGTCACTTGCAATTGAACCATGGTGAATGTCTCAGTTATCTAGTACTGCTATAACAGAAAAACCACAAGTGGGTGGCTTCAACAAACAGAAGTTTCTTCTCTCACAGTCTAGTGGACTAGAAGTCCAAATTCAGGCCACCAGCTTCAACAGAAGGCTTTCTCTGTTGGCTCTAGAAGAAGGTCCTTGTCATCAGTCTTCCATTGGTCTAGGAGCTTCTCAGCGCAGGGACTCTGGGTCCAAAGGGCACGCTCTGCTCCTGGTACTACTTTCTTGGTGGTACGAGGTCCCCATGTCTCTCTGCTCACTTCTCTTTTATATCTCCAAAGAGATTGACTTAAACACAACCTAATCTTGTAGAATGAATCCTGCCTCATTAAAATAACTGCCTCTAATCCTACCTCATTAACATGACGGAGGCAGGATTTACAACACGTAGGAAAATCACATCAGATGACAAAACGGTGGACAGTCACACGATTCTGGGAATTCTGGCCTGGCCAAGATGATATACATTTGGGGGGACACAATTCAGTCCATAACCGTGATCCATGAGATTTCATTGGCTGGTTTGCAGAAGTAGGGGGGAAGCCACTACTGGGAGTTGAGACGGAAGATTCCCGCACACTGTGGGGGGCTGCACTGTTGCTGGAAAGAAGTGACTGGATATGGGCGATTCTGGAGGAAGAATCACCAGGTTTTCCTGATGGGGCATGAGGGGAGGGCAGTCGAAGATGACCCCTGGAAGATTTCACTTCTTAGCCACCGGGTGCCTGGTGGTGCCACAGAGGTTAGGGGACGACCAGGAGAGAGATGGTCTGGTGGGAGAGAAGCCAAGTGGACCAGTCGGTGTCCCTGGGGAGAGGTGCTGCTTCACACCACTGACTGGATGAGTTCACCAGGGGAGCAGGTCAGGCAAAGAACAGAGACCAGGGATAAGGAGCAAGAGCCCTCTGCACTCAGGGGCAGAGGCAAAGAGAGAGGAAGCTGGTGTGGGGGGGCATCACACCCCACCGGATCAGCAAAAGGAGCGGCTCCAAGGGGCACAGGTTGGATTCAGAAAAAGCCAGGTTGATGAGATCTTGCTTTCTTAGGGAACTTACAGGCAGAGATTGGCTCCAAGATTCCCATGATGGGTAGTGTGTCACCTGGGTGGAGGTCTGCGCACAGTAGTGAGGGCTGCGGGTTCTACGCCTAGTGCTTACAGGCAAGGGTACCCGTAGGAGACTGGGGAGAAGACACCTAACCTGTGATGGATGGGTCGTTTTGTACTACTTGTTAGGTGCTGTCAAGTTTGTTCTGACTCATAGTGACCCCATGTACAACTGAACGAAACACTGCCCAGTTCTGCGCCATCCTCACAATCGCTGTGTTTGAGCCCATCATTGCAGCCACTGGATCAGTCCATCCCCTTGAGGGTCTTCGTCTCTTTTGCTGACCCTCTACTTAACCAAGAATGATGTCCTTCTCCAGGGACTGGTCCCTCCTGCTAACATGTCCAGAGTATGTGAGACAAAGTCTCACCATCCTCTCTTCTGAGGAACATTCTGGCTTTACTTCTTCCAAGACAGATTTGTTTGTTTTTCTGGCAGTCCATGATATATTCAATATTCTTCATCAACATCGTAATTCAAAGGCATCAATTCTTCTTCGGTCTTCCTTATTCATTGTCCAGCTTTCACATGCGTATGAGGTGATTGAAAACCCCTTGGCTTGGGTCGGGGCACCTTATCCTTAAAGTGACATCTTTGCTTTTTACTATTTTAAAGAGTCTTTTGCAGCAGATTTGCCCAATGCAATTTGCCCAATGATTTCTCGACGGCTGCTTACATAGGCGTTGACTGTGGATAAAGTAAAATGAAATCCTTGACAACTTCAATCTTTTCTCCGTTTATCATGAAGTTGCTTACTGGTCCAGTTGTGAGGATTTTTGTTCTCTACTTTGAGGGGTCATCCCTATCAGTGTTTTTATTCACATTGCACAGTTTGGAAGTGTTTCTAAAGTGTTTTATGTGCACCAAAACCAAACCCGTGGCCGTCGAGTCAGTTCCGACTCATAGCGACCCTATAGGACGGAGTAGAACTGCCCCATAGGGTTTCCAAGGAGCGCCTGGTGGATTCGAACTGCCAACCATATACTAAGACGTACATTCGCCTAACGGATGCTAAGTAAGAACCGTATGTACCTGTTCTGACTTACCTACAAATTCAGCTTGAAGACAGACTTGGGAACGGATCTTGTTCACAACCTGGACATTGCCTGCATCTCACTGTTGTTTTGCTGTACTTCTATTTTTTGCCCCTGTAGAATTTTTATTCACCAAACAGCCTGATGGGACCTGAGGCTTTATAATAACTGTGTGCAGTCTGTTCTAGGCACCGTTTTCAGGCATTTCATCTTTAGAAGGTCGGTCCTAGTACATCTAGGATTCTCTGGTGGTGCAAACAGTTAACACACTCGGCTGCTAACTGAAAGACTGGTGGTTCAAACTCACCCAGAGGTGTGAGGAGGAAAGGCCTGGTGACCTGCTTCTGAAAAATCAACCACTGAAAACTTTATGGAGCACAGTTCTTCTCTGACATACGTGAGGTTACTATGAGTTTGAGTTAACTGAACAGCAACTGGTTTGATTTTTTTTTTTACTAGGGCATCTGTGTTTTTGGGATGGGGACACTGAAGCACAGAGTGGTTAGTTATTAACGTAATCCAGGTCAGAGCCCAGAGGAAACCCAGCAGTGTGGCTCCAAGCCCATGCTCTTGACCCCTGTGCTTCTTTGCTTCCAGAAAGTGAACCCCCATGGTTTCTCACTGCTCCCCTCCTGGCCCATCTCCCCACCTGGCCTGGCTCCTGCCACCCCTCCCCCCACTCCCTGCCTCTGTCACCTCCTGCCACACAGCAGCTGCCTGCCTGCTCCTCAGCCCTCTCACCCCCCCACCCTGGGCCCCTCAGATGCCTCACCCCACCCCAGGCCCCTCAGATGCCTCACCCCACCCTGGGGGCCCCTCAGACACCTCACCCCACCCTGGGCCCCTCAGATGCCTCACC